CAAACAAAGGCGCTACGACAACGCGGACTGGAATTCAACTTGTATATTTGTATTTTTGTTACATAATTAAATGACATTAATCACCAGTGTTTCATTTCTTTCTATTCAAATCTTCATTGTAAATAAACGATTGTTGAATATACTTCTTAGGTATTAGATGAAAGCGATTTTAATGAAAATGCATATGTGGATGTGAAAGAACTGCTATTACCTGAAAATTAAAACGTTTGATCATTAAGCTTAATAGACTACCTGTAAGATGAAAACAATTCCATCATAAAGACTGCCCAGAATCAATTAGATAATAAAAAAGCTTGCAACTGAGTCTTATGCGAACGCCCCAGAATTACTTAAAGAAAGCATTCATCAGGGTCAAAATATATCTTGCTTATACTTAAAAAAATCTATCTATCTGCATTTATATACGTATATATATATATATATATATATATATATATATATATATATATATATATATATATATATATATATATATATATATATATATATATATATATATATGTATGTATATATATATATATATATATATATATATATATATATATATATATATATATATATATATATATATATATATATATATATATACACACACACACACATTTCTGCGTTTGTAATATACGATGATATTAATTACACAAACTATCTATACATCTATTTGACTGATCTTGAAATTCTACTGTGGATTTTTTTCTATCTAAAGTCGTAGAATAAAAAGTTTCTTTTTTTAACATACACATACGGTTTATTCACATGAAATGTTATAGTAATCAGCTAAAGAAATGTTCTATAGGGGTAGATGGCAATAACTGTTCTAGAGAATGTATAGCAAACCACTACTGGCAGGAGAGGGGGGGAGGGGGGGATAGATGAGCAGGACCCACCCTCATTCAGTTAAAAAAAGGGTTGAACATAGGGCGAATAATAACCGTTATTCCACCCCATATATATACTATGAAAAAATGATATTAGAATTAAATGCAAATTGCAAGTCCTGCGAACAGGTAAAAAGTACAATTATTGCAAGCAGGAAAAATGGCTATGTGAGGGAACGAAATCATATAAACATATGTTTTACGACCCAAAGAGAGAACAAATATAAGCATGAGGAAAAAACAGTGAGAATTTGATTATTTATTAGTAGTAATTTTAACCATGTGTATTGTCCATTCTGTGTAGGTAATATGAATATTTTAGTATGCAACAATGAACAACATAACACTGCATATTCAGTAAGGTTGCCAAAATGAACAAAAAAGAAGATTCGATAATGTACATGTTAGGTGTGCAGCTGCAAATCTACACAGTCTCTCTCTCTCTCTCTCTCTCTCTCTCTCTCTCTCTCTTGTTCTCTCTCTCTCTCGTTCTTTCTTTCTCTCTCGTTCTATCTCTCTCTCTCGTTCTCTCTCTCTCGTTCTCTCTTCTTTCTCTCTCTCTCTCTCTCTCTCTCTCTCTCTCTCTCTCTCTCTCTCTCTCTCTTGTTCTCTCTCTCTCTCGTTCTTTCTTTCTCTCTCGTTCTATCTCTCTCTCTCGTTCTCTCTCTCTCGTTCTCTCTTGTTTTCTCTCTCTCGCTCTCTCTCTCTCTCTCTCTCTCTCTCTTTCTCTCTCTCGTTCTCTCTTGTTTTCTCTCTCTCGTTCTCTCTCTCTCTCTCTCTCTCTCTCTCTCTCTCTCCTTCTCTTTCTCTCTCTCTCTTGTTCTCTCTCGTTCTCTCTTTCTCTCTCGTTCTCTCTCTCTCTCTCTCGTTCTCTCTTGTTTTCTCTCTCTCCATCTCTCTCTCTCTCTCTCTCTCTCTCTCTCTCTCTCTCTCTCTCTCTCTCTCTCTCTCTCTCTCTCTCTCTCTCTCTCTCTCTCTCTCTCTCTCTCTCTCTCTCTCTCCCTCTCTTGTTCTCTCTCTCTCTCTCTCTCTCTCGTTCTCTCTTTCTCTATCATTCTCTCTCTCTCGTTTTCTTTCTCTCTCTCTTTCAATCAATCAATCAATCAAAAGCATTATTGAATCTGTCATGGCAATAATCATTACCATCACTACACTAATACCACTGTACTGTTATGCACACATTTTTTATGTCTTTATACTTTAGTTAACCCTCTAGAGTCCCTCGTTTTCTTTTGTGACCTAGTTTTGCAATGATGAAAACCAGATGTGAGATCACGATACCTCATTGCAAAACACTCGATCATTGGTGACGCTAAACTGAAATTTCGTAAGTTTTGATTTATGTATCCTTAATTAACGTTATCTGTGAATGTGTAGATAGGTAGAAAGTAATCATGGATGTTAATTATATACACTGTTAATGTGTGATATGAGGAAATAAAGGAAAGTGGAAATAAATAAAGGCTAGTGTGAAAATTGTGGTTGTGTTGCAGTGAAGACAATCGAGCTGCCATTTTGTAAATATTTGCTTTGATATTTCAGGGAATTTTGCCATTATTCTTAAAAGTGACCATTAGTGCAAGACCACAAAGCTCGTATTGAAG